AGACGATGTTTTGCACAATTTTAAAACAGTCTGATGTTACTCATGAAATGCAATAGTAATGTGTTTTTTATATTGTTTTGACACGGATCGTGACGTAATGTTCTCGGGTAAATGCGTAGGAGGGAAGAGACGCGTCTACTAGTTTGTATGCGATTTTATATCGGGAAAGGAACAGCAAAAGGAATTAAATTCATCTTCTTAGTATTGCATTAATAGAAATATAAAATACGTACCCATATTGTCGGAAAAATCTAGAATAATTATCGCGTACTTAAAGTAGGTGATGTTTTGAAGGAGGAATGATGCGCCACTATCACAGATTACTTTCCTAATCAAACTATTAAGTTTAACTAACCTAATCAAAGTTTTTGATTAGGTTAGTTGTTGACCTCGTGATATATGTTTAAAAGAAGTTAATTATTTTGTCTCTATTTATTTACTATTTGAAGTCGCCTAAGTTAGATTACAATTAAATACTAAAGTACAAAAAATAAATGAAAATTCATGTTTTTGACATTGTAGCCCCCTAAAATTTATTGTTAACTTAAACGCTAATCGTAGGATTCCATTGCGCTATCAGCTCCACAAAGAAAGTCATCTAATTTTTTCAAAAATAAAATGTTCATGGTTTATCTTTTTGTATAAGAGTTTCGTCAGAGAATACTCACTGTAAGATGCGGTATCAAAGTAAGCCGCCAATCACCGGATGATGTTATACGACTCCTAACTTAGAGTAACTTGAATCTCTTAACATCAAACATGGTCACTTGAAATATAAGACCATAACAAACAAGTAACATAATTTTACTCTCACTACCCAAGTAGTCAAAAATGATTTTGTTGCTTAAAGAATTACTTTTAACGATTTTATACGAAAAAAAATCTTCCTTTTTGAATTTCTTACGAGTGTAGTTTTAGAATAAGATATATTCCATGTTATTTTCTGTTCCCTTGATAATGTCTGTCAAGACAAGATGCTTGTGACTGTAGCCTTAAAGTTTTAGAGGGATACTTTCCCGTTGGGACGATGATCGGTGGGCCGATCGGCCCAACGGGAGACATCCATTCTCGTTAAAAATAATGCTTAAAAATTTTCAAATATACTATTACTATTTAGTACATGAATTTTTTACGAAAATATTGTTAACTTTACAGAGAAAACAGGTGTTGACTGAACATATTTGGGATTCTGAGAAGCGCGTTATAATTAGTGACTGTATATGGTTGTAACATGATTTGGTTTCAGAAGACCACATGAAAGGTGAACGAATACATTTAAAGAACACTAGCACATTACTATGTTAACAACATAAACGTATGAGTATTAAATCCAAATATTGCTTATACTAAACGTAAACGCTAGTATAATTCCTATATAGCTTTCCTTTGTGCATCATCATTCATCAGCTCACTATACGTCTCCTCCGAGCTCGGAGTCAAACTGGGGGTGATAACCCCATATTCAACCAAGCTGGCTGGTTCACAATTATCTTTGAATTTCTTGTCAGATATGTGCAGGTTACATCACGATGTTTTCTTTCATCGTAAAAACGTCGGATAAATGTACATCTTAATCGAAAAGCACACTGGTACATGATGGGATTCGAACCCATGACCTGTAGATTACAAGTTAAGTTCTTAACCCCTGAGCCACAGGCACAACCTTCCTTTGTTATCATCAAGAAAATAAATAGGTTATTGCTAATATATTGTACGAAACATTCTGTCCATATCCTTATTCAATGAACACTAATGTGGTAGACTTAAGAAATTAATCTCCCTTAAAGTACTATTACAGAGTTATTACGCTCACAAATTAAACAGATGCACATAACGCTAACGAGTATGAAGCATTGAATTTGTTTATTTCATCAACACAACGCTCGGCCATTCAAACAATTAGTTAGCGGGGGTCAAACACCTATCCTACTTCCTTCAATCATTATGTACGTTGTGATTGAATTCGTCAATAGACTATCTACAACACAACCTTTTGAATAGCCCAAACTTCGTACAATGTGCTTAGAGATCAGTGATTCCCAAACTGGTCCGAATTCTTAGTTACGTCTGATGAGTTTACGTTTCTCTTCTCCTTCTCATTCTTCTCGTACAAGGAGAGGAATGGATTTCATGGCAACGCATCTGCAATTGGGGATATCTATTGGTTGCAGTCGCTTCGCTATTTCAGCGAATTAAGGTGACTTGCTTGCTCCTTTTTCTCCTTATAATATAAAAAAGTTAAACCTTCATGAGTCCCAGAAAGACCTGGCACGTACACCCCATGTTAAAAGAAAATAAATTGAAGCTTCATAACTTGAAGGAATATACCAACAAGTGATCAGTAGTGGTTCTAGCTTTATTAGCGCCCTGGGCGTGATTTCTAATGAGCGTTCTTTTTCACCATGCCTTTGGAGGTATCAATAGGGTTATGTAAGTGTGTATAACCCAAAAACCTGTGGCATCCCTTTCTGGGCGATCTCCCAACCGCGACCTTCCCTAACGCAGCTTCCGTAGATCTTTCACTGAAGCCAGTTAAGTTTTAGCGTAAAAAAAAGATTGGGAATCTCTGGTATAGATTACTATGAGTCATCGATTAAAAATAATGTTAGTTTTATTTAATTTCTACTTGTAAAATTTTTATATTATACTATTATTTGCACCAATCAGATTAGTCCGCTGGTCTACTGAAGAACTCATAAAAGTGTTAAATCATACTAATATTATAAATGCGAATGTTTAGATAGATGTTATTTGAAGGTGTCTCCAGAACGGCTGAACGGACCTCATTGAAATTTGGCATACACAAGAACATTGTCTAGAAGAACATATTGGCTACTAATTATGTTCTTTTTTAATTCAGCCCAGACGGAGTCGCCGGCGACAGCTAGTACTTAATAAATCAATTGCGTTCTATTTAACAACAATTAACTCTTTATACGTCGGAATGTTTAACAATAATTTGTTGTTTCGTTACTTGGCTATCTCTTATCGTGGATTTAATATGAACATATGTTACATTTTCATCATTCTAGCACGTGAACATTTTATAAATAACCTGTCCATCTCCGTTATGTCATTTTATAAGGAACTATCCTTCGCGTATACGAGGCGAGGATTTTTAATCTTTAACAGTGGTATAGCCCGCTTTAACATCTTCGCACGAATCGGCCCGGCTCGCCCGGTGAAATACCACGACCACACAGAAGACAGACGTAAAGTGGAAGCAATTCCGCGTTTCGTCTGATTAGTGTGCGTCCCGGAGGCCTAATTTAGTCCTCTTTTCCTTCCCATCTTTTTTTTTTTTATTAAGAAAGGATGGGACGTTGAAGTGGACTTTCCGGATGATCCGGATGTGGATGCATGGAAATGTTTTCTTTCTGTGCATCCTCTCCTCGGTAGATCAAAGATAGGCAACTCATATGCAATTGCGTATGTCTATGGGCAACGGTCACTTCGCTATTTCAGCGATTTAAGGTGGCCGCTCGCTCGCCACCTTTTGATATAAAAAAATCTTAATATAGGTTCAGGCTAATCTGTCTTCTTCAATTTTAGCTGATTTTAAACATATTTTATCCTAAAACATATAGAGTTGACTATTAGACCATTACGTGGAGGTATTGAACTCAATATTTCAAATCCTCTAGGTAGTATTATAAAGACATTGATTACCATTTATCATGATGCGATCTCTCCAGACATACTAAAACAAAGTTGTATTCATATGAATGCATTTGATATATTACTTCTGTAATTAAAGATAAATTCTTTGGCTAGATAAAAAGACAGAAAAGATATAAAGAGAAGAAAGAAATTGCTTAAGCATATATATTATAAAAAAAAACCGAGATACCTCTGACAGTTACCCTATGACATTCAGGAGAAGAAAACGAATCGATTGACAACACATTGATTTAAATCGGTTCAGTAATTTAGACAACACGAGAGCACAATGAAAAACCCGTACACGAAGACCATTAAATAACGCTCCGAAGTCTGGTAAAAAATAAAAACGCTTACCGGATCATTTTGATCTTGGTTCAGGAACAGCCAGCCTAGCAGAGCTTGCTGGCAGTTGTCTGTGTTGCCACACCACTGTGGCAGGTCGGAGCTGATCGCAGCTGGTGACATTGCACCATCAGTTCTCCTATCACCCTTGACCACAAGACAATAAGTTCCTATCACACGTGACCACAGAGCAGTATAAACTTTTCCACTGTTCACAAGTGTACTGATCACTTCACTGGTTAAGCACTGTTTGTCGTTGGTATACTGGTATTTTTACAATGTCAGTGTGTACGTGGTGAGGGCGGCGGCCGGGCAAGGCGGTATTTTTGGCTCGCAATGTGTCGGGCTGCGCGCGCGCCGGTTACTCTCGGACTAGTAGCAGCCGCTCCTTAAGACGGGAGATGGGAATAGGTATAGTGTTGGTCAGAATATCGAATATTAGTGTAATGATATCGATAGTTAAAAAATTAAAAGAATAAACTTTCTGTCTGGGAATTTAATTACTCTATGTAGTAATTGTTCTTTTGATTTCCTTAAATAGTATCGAAACGTAAAACATTTTTTTATAAATTGCTTTTATTTCTTCTTCTTATTGTAGCTACCTTTCTTTTCTGAGTAATTTAAATTTTATACCTAGTTTTAGAATTAAACGTCTAATTGGTGTGGAAAGTCCGTGATGATATCAACAGCGAACTTTAGGTGACTTAAATAGTTTCCATTCAAACAGCAACATTACATTCTCAAATAAAAAAAATGTATTTATTGGAGACAACATCCTTCAGTTTATCGATAAAACAATATAAATACAGTCACAACACTACTTGGAACATGTGGGCGCCGACGCGCGGGGACTCCGTGGAGCAATATTTTCGTTCAGCCCCCCTACCACGATATCCCGGCCGGTATCCTAACGATATCCCGTCCTCTGAAACAAAGCGACAGATTTGTACAACAAAGCCTAATAGTAACAAGCTTTCTCCCATATGCAGTTCTTTTGATGACGTCACTTACGTATAGAAGACGCTTTTTAAATTATTGTTTATTTGTTTTTTTCTTTGCCAAAGAAGTTTAGTGGTTTAGTGTCCGTATTTAGCTGTGATCATTTGAGGTTTGATTTCTATTTTAGTGATTTAGTTTATGTAGAAGATTACTATTGAACTTTGGGATATCTCTTAACATAATCAGTTGGTTGAGCCATGTTTTTTTTTGTGAATTTGGTGTAAAACTAACTGGCTTATTAACTTAGAAAAGTTCAGTCACATTTTCCTTTAGTTTATACTACTAAAAGGCTTAGTTTCTTTTTTGTGATTAATTGTGGAACGATATTTATATGTATTGTTTATATGCACTTAATATTTTGTCCTTCCTTCCTGTCAGCCATGAGACGCCCACTGCTGGACATAGGCCTCCCCCAAAGATCGCCACGATGAGCGGTCTTATGCCACTTGCATCCAGGACGCAATATTTTGTCCACAATATATTAAAAGGCCACTTCATAATTCTTTCAAGCAGCCACTTCAATTTCCATTTCTTAAATACATTGTTGACTCTGCTTAAAATGTCAAATCGATAAGTTTAAGCATTACTATTGATTTCAAGTTCTCCAATAACTTAGGTGTGAAAGAAAATACGATCTTATTATGATTGAATATGATTGAATTATGATTGAAATATATGATTTTAATATAGTATTTAACTTTTAAAGTTTTCTAAGTGTTTCTTTTATCGTGTTTCTTCTTTCTACATTAAATCATAAATAATTCGTCGATATAACGATATGTTAAGCCTTTGGTGATTGTTTAAAGTGTAAATGTACTCCCGAAAGTGTATACTTAGGTTTTATTTAAACATTAACTGTCGCCCGTGACTCTGTCCGCGCGGTAATAAAAGAAACTTAATTAATAGCCTATGTGTTCTTCCAGACTATATACTACATCTATGACAAATTTCATCAAGATCTGTTTAGCCGTTCTGAAGATACCTTCAAACATACAAAGGCAACTGCAGTTCCTCTGGTGTTGTAGATGTCTATGGGTGTCGTTGATCACCTCGTTGTTTTCGCCGCACAATTGCCCCCTTGTCTTCCAAAAAATCCATCCATTTATCCATCCATCCAAGCATTCGCATTTATAATATTAGTAAGATATAGGTATAGTAAAAGATAAATAATACTTTAGTGGAACGCAATCGGTTAAAATAACGCGACATCGTCACCACAACGATGTCAATTGAACCTCATCACGCTCTTTAATTGATCACAATAAAGAGGGGCTCGAGATGGTAACTCTACTATATTGGAATGACCTCTTTAATCTTTGTAACGTATCAGTATTGTAACGTTTTATATTAGCTGGGTTATAACAATGTTACATACAAAACATTCAATGGATATAGGTATATATAAATTAGTAAATGTATTGACAAGTGCGATGTTATAATGTTACTAGCTGCGCCCGCGATTTCGTTCGTGTGGTTGTCGAAACTTAAACCGTTTATGCACGCAACGAAAGTCTTCAAATGTGAATAATTTTCCCCATTTTTGCAACATTTCTCACTTCTTCGCTCCTATTGGTCGCAGCGTAATGTTATATAACCTAAAGCCTCTATAAATGGACTATCCAACAAAAAAAGAATTTTTCAAATCGGACCAGTAGTTCATGAGATTAGCGCGTTTAAACAAACTCTTTCGGTTTATAATATTAGTATGGATTAAATACAGATAAAAAAGTTATTCTTTTACCATCATCAGCTCACTATACGTCCCCACTGAGGGGCTGGGAGCCAACCCTAAGTTGTTGATTAGGACATAGTGAACCACGCTGTTCCAGTGCGGTCTAACTTTACACATATCTTTGAACTCTTTCTCAGATATGTGCAGGTTGCATCACAGTTTTTCTTCGTAGTAAGAACTTCTGATAAATGTACATATATAGATAAAAAAAACACATTGGTAGACCTGAAGTTTACAAGTCAAGTGTTTAACTCCTGAGCCACCGACGGTCTTATTCATTTCATCAGTCATCATCTTCAGCTCACTATACGTTCACCGAGGGGCTCGGACCTATCCTAAGTTAAGGGCGATCAGGACATAGTCAACCACGCTGGCCAAGTGTGGGTTGATTGACTTCACACATATCATTGAATTTCTTCTCAGATATGTGCAGCATCACGATGTTTTCCTTCATCGTAAGAAAGTTGGATGACTTATTCATTTGTCAGTTGTTAAATATACCCAAGAATTTAACACGAAATTTATTAAGACGACAGTTAAATTCATGCACCATGCAGGTTTAATTCTCATTTGCGACATTTATTATATTAATAACTGGCAATCAAGAAGTCTTAACTTTATGAATAAAATAAATTTGACATTTCTTTTTTTATCAATTACAAAATTGACAGTTCGTATTGTCACGTCGTGTTTCAATTTTATTGCTTCTATTTTAAAAAACAACCGTTAAAATTATTTATCATTGTTTTAATTCAAATAAACTGTGAAGAGAAGATTGTGTTAAATATCCTATTTTTTTCGGTAAGTGAATTTTTGTTCTTAAAAAATAATCAAAGTACGTATATTCAAAAGGCAACTGTCATTGTCTTCAGTGGGTTAACGTTTAGACGGTACATGTTTGTAATGAAATCATTTTTTTTATTTTATTAGTACTTATAGTTTTTGATAAAATTGACCATAAACGAGTTGTTGCCTTCACAATTTTGTCTTTAATATAAATTCGTTATTACCGATATTTTATAATAGTTATATTTACTGTCGTATTATTGTTCCTATCGAGACCTACTACACAAAAAACATAGTTACATTGAAATATTAAATACAACAAGATTAAATCTAGGCCTACTATATGTGTTTATAATTATAATGATCTACATCTATCTATATATATAAAAATCAATTGCTGTTCGTTAGTCTCGCTAAAACTCGAGAACGGCTGAACGGATTTATCTCATCGTGGTCTTGATATGTTCGTGGAGGTCTCGGCAAGGTTTAAAATATAAGAAAAATATGAATTGGCAATAGATTGAACTGGGAAACTTGGCATAGATGTAGAGCAGTGGTTAACCTTATTTTGCCTACTACCCACTTTGAGAATAAATATTTTTTTAACGCCCCCATATTTACCACTATAACTTCAAATTAAATTAATTAATTAATGTGACCTATATATGTATATTAACGGAGAATTAAACGAAACTTTTACTATAACCCGCAACTTGAGACCTGCAGCGCCCATAAGGGGGCGTTATCGCCCTCTTTGGGAAAGACTGATGTAGAGCATAGTCTGGAAGAACGTATAGGCTAATAATTGATTTTTAATTACGCGCAGACGAAGTCGCGGGCGACAGCTAGTATAACAATAAATTCTTTCAAGTAACATGTAACAAAATATCGTATGATGGTTCTAAGAAAGGTCCTCAATTTCGCTGACTAGAAAAACAGAGAGATGTATGGTAAGTATGTAGTCACCGGAGGCAGGCAACATTGTAGAGTCTTCTGAGTAACTTATCGTATTGTAATATGAAACATACAATAGGAAGAATTACGATATTCATTAGTTAAATATGATAAGCATAGCGCCAGGATGTTTATCTAAAGTTTCATACTAATTTAGGTTAGATTTATAAGAATAAATTATAATCTATATATAAGAGAAAGTTGTGTTAGTTACACTATTTATAACTCAAAAACGGCTTTACAGATATGGCTGAAAATTGGTGAGGAGGTAGCTTAGAGCCAGGAGACGGACATAGGATACTATTTATTTATATTTTTTTCGAATTTATGCCTTAAGAACTGCTTTTTATTTAACTTACTAATGTTATAAATGCGAATGTTTAGTTGGATGTGATGTGGATGGATGGGTGGGCTTCACTAATTAAGTTTTTTTATATAACCAAGCGGTCGGAGTCGCGGGCGACAGCTAGTAACTAAATAACAATAAGCTAAATTACTTGCGTTAATTTTATGCGACCTAAATCTTCCTTTAAAACATATTGTTATCTCCGGTTTTGTCAAAGATTATGACATGGATGACGATATGTTTTCTACAGAGATTTTGGTCTTCTGTCTGTCATATTTCACGCTAACTATGCTTCTCTTTTGAAGCCAAGCTTATACCGATATGTCGTTTTTTAAATGACCATCTTACTAATATTATAAATGTGAATGTTTGGATGGATGGATGTTTGTTTGAATGTATCTCCGCAACCGCTCAATGGATATTGATGTAATAATTAGACACAGATAGTGACATAGTATGGATGTATACATAGGCTACTTATTAGGTTTATTTTTAATCCTGCGCGGACAGAGTAACGGGCGACAGCTAGTAATATATAAAATACATGCACTTACAAAAGATAAGAGAAAAAGATTTACAATGCTGAAAGTAAAGCGAAAGTCTCTCAGATTTTATAACTAAATTAAACAGTAATTAATTGGAAAACACGAATATCATGCTATAGAAAATCGTTTTGCGTGAATATGTTATCATATATTTTAATCTCAAATCTCCTTGAAAAATATAGAGGTGTTCACATTACAAGCTTGTCGTGTCAATGCACCGCTATTGCATGTTAATTGTTAATACATACTGTAGAATTGACGCGGCTTTTTTTGACTGCTTATACCAACCTGTGAAATGCCTTTTTATTATTTTTGTGAAGAAAAACAGTATGTTTATGTTCGGGTATTTCAGTAATTGCTCGACTCTTCAGAATGTTTTTATGTAATCTACAAACAGGCTGATTTCACTGGCAAACGGTGACATATGTATCTTACGAATCTTATAAATCGATTTTTTCGATAGATGGATGAATGTTTGCTTGAAGGTATCTCCGGAACGGCTACATGGATATCGTTGAAATTTGACACAGTTGTAAAATATAGTCTGGAAGAACACATAACATTGTTTTTTTTTAATTCCGCGCGGATTCAGTCTGTACCTACTTATGTATATATTTTACCTTAAAGGATTACTTAGTACACAAGTTAGTTGATCTTTATAATCAAAATGTGAAACTAGGTTTAACGTATAGTCGATTGAATGGTCAGATATAGTGTTATTTCGACGGTCATTACCCACAAACCTTGTACCACGTGGTCTGATTGTGCAAAGTTTGGCAATACATGGATTAAGGTCAAACAGCGCCTTGTGGAAACGAAATGTTTCAGTTACGTAAAATTGCCGTACCCTCGAACTTAGCCCTCGTTAGCTATTATACGTACGCT